ACTATACTTTTAAAATTGCAACATCTTCAATGTTACAATATGCATGTTGCACACACACGTGACATGATATACTAGTATATAGACACAAAATAAATCATTGATATTTCTGGTCTCTTAGTTTCCACCGTTTTATATAATTTTGATAATAACCTCCCAAAACTTGACATTTCGCACTTTGGAGTTTGAAAATTTATCTTAGTTCGACCTTGGAGTATAAAGATACTCTTGGGAGCATGTGAAAAGCCGTACGTGGCGAGCAACGAACGATGACTCATGACACTTGTTACCTCCGCAGCAAGACACGCCTGCACAGTCTAAAGACAGCTGTCGCGCGCCGGCCTCTCCTTCTTCTCCCGCCAAAACCTTAAAGCCCCTTAGCTTATCCGCCCACTCGCCGCCACTATTCACATGCATTCAAACTATTAATGAATCAAAATTAAATAATCCATCCGCAGGTCGATTGCTTACGTTCGTATACCTAGTACGAGTACCTACCTTGCTTGCTCGACCGAGAATGGTGACCAGAAAGCACAAGGCGGAAATCAACAAGCAGCTGGCGGCGCAACAAGATGATCATAAGTCCCACCACAAATCTTCGCCCTCCAAAAAGCCAAAGACGAATAAGGACGGCGCCGATGATCACGGTGAAGGCCGCAAGGATGACGAGAAACCGGGCGTTGATTCCGAGTTTGAGGAGTTCTGCAATGCGACGAGAGAGCATCTCTCCGTCCAACAAATGCGGGACGTCCTCGAAGCCAACGGCCAGGACTCTTCCGGCTCAGACGCTGCTGTTGTCTCAAGATGGTCAGTACTTAGTTCATCTTTCTGGTTGACGTGTTGGGAGTTTGGGTTTGAAATGTTTGATCGAAAGTTCAATAGAATGTTTAAGTCTCATTATGATTTGGTGCCAGGACCGTGCCTTAGTTAGGCTGCAGAGACCCAAGCCTCAGTGCCCCAAGAAAGTGAAAAAATTAGGGACCCATAATTTTTAAACATTACTATTACATGTGTTCTTTTTTATTAGTCCTCTTAGGTTTGGCATGAGTTTTAATAATAAAGTGGTAGGGTAAGTGTAGAGTGTGTAGGGTAAATGATAAAGTAGAAAAAATGGTACTCCCTCCGGTTTTATTTAATCTTCACACTTTGACTTCACACAAAATAAGGAAAGAAATTTGACTTTACTGTAGAGTACACTGTTGAGGCACTGTTTGGCACTGTTTTGAGGTAGATTTCTTTGCCAAAAAATGAAATAAGGAAGTGTGAAGTTTATTTTAGACCGTTCCAAAAAGGAAAGTGTGAAGTTTATTAAAAACCGGAGGGAGTATATTAAAAAGAGTAAAGTGATGATAAAGTAGGAAAGATAGTGTATTAAGAAGAGTAAAGTGATGGTAAAGTAGAAAAGAGAAAGTAGTTTGTAAAAAGTAAGTGAGGTAAAAGTAATAAAAGGGAAAGGAGGACAAATAAAAAAACGTCCCAAAAAGGAAAGAAGGACTAATAAAAAAAGAACGGAGGGAGTATTATTATACTTATGTATTTTCCAAGGCCGGCGCCATTTGGGGCGGCGGTTTCTGGTGAATTTTTTTGATGAACTTTTTTGGCATATTTTTCATTAAATCTAATTTACTCATACCAAATTTCAGCAAAAAATTCAATCGGGAAGGCAGTCAAATGTATTTTTGATTTGAAGATAACTGTGCAGTTAAACAGCACAGTATATTTCAGAAAATCATTTGACTGCCTTATTTGTTGAATTTTCAGCTGAAATTTGTTATGGATAAACTAGACTTAATGAAGAAGATGCTCAAAAATTTTCATCAAAAAAATTCCAAAAAAAAAAATCCAAAAAAAATCCACTGGAAACCACCCCAACCCAAATGCCAACCCAAATGGTAACGGTCCCAACCCAAATGGTAACCCAAATGGTAACGGTCGGACAGAATCTCTTAGTTTTGAGGGCTGATACTCCGTAGAGAAAATTAATACTCTGTAGTATATATTGTTGAGGATTCCGCTAAATTATGTATCTAAAACTATTTGACGGGTTTTGTGATAATGGAAGACTTCTATTGAAAGTTTGTTTAAATGATAAACAAACTGTATGGTGCATTTTATTGGGATTATTACAATTACATATGTAGCCTAGTTTTGTCAAGTCCGACGCATACGAGAAATAGTACAGTAATAGACATAATATTGTGTGACTCAAGGTCATGCGGCTAGTTGTATACTCCTCTAGTCCTCTTGGACATGTATGGTATATGTACGTATATATTCACCCCATTTGGGTAACTAAAAATTATGATAAATTAGTAATAGTACATCAAATTGACTTTTCTCATTAGTCGTAATGAACTTCATATTGGGTGTGAAATTAGAAAACTAAAAACTGTGTGATTGACATTTGGACAGAAGAGAGAAATAGGAGAGAAATAAACGTCACATATTTGTTACTTTAAAAGCAAAAATGATAAAGTTTTTAGTACAAATAAAAAAAGAAAAGTTGGTGAAGTCCAGTGTGTCAAGGAAGTACTATATTTGTGTCAAGGAAGTACTATATTTGTGTGAAAGTATTCTTAACAAAGAACTTTTTCATATAATTTTCATATTTTAAACAATTTAGTATTAAAAAAATATAGTTTGTCAAACTTTTTCATATGATGTATGACGTATGGGTTTATAATTTTATTATACTCGTATGATATTAATATTTTAGTAATACAGCCAAGAAATAATGTTCTATGGGCCATTGGGGAAGTGTCCAGTCTGCGGTGGCATGTTGGAGTGCAGCGGCGGAGCATATCACTGCAAAGGAGATTTCTCAGAGTGGTCTTCCTGTGTTTACTCCACCAGAGATCCTCCCAGAAAGGACCAAGAGCCACTAAACATTCCTGAATCTGTCAGGAAAACGCCAGTCGAAAACGTAATAAACTACTCCGTACTAATTTAAGCATGCATGAAGTTTAAGTGTGATACTATTTGTTTTTAAATGCATTGTATATTTGGGTTCATTAGTTGATCAAGAAACATCAAGATCCCAAAACCCGGCCAAAGAAAGAACAACTCACAGCAGTAAAACCTCTTAGCGGTATGATGATTTCGCTCTCGGGCCGTCTTACCAGAACCCATGTATGTATTTTTTTTCAATTCTGCAATTCTTTATGTAGTCTGTTAACAACTGAGAATATGTTTTCGCACATTTAGTTAGTGACAACAATAAGTTTATCTGTGCAGCAATACTGGAAATCTCAAATTGAGAAGAATGGAGGGAATGTGGCAAATTCTGTCATTGGTAATATGTTCATATTAGTGATGGGTTTGGTATATAGTATGTTACACATTAGTTGTGACATAAATCACATGATAGTGTTTGCTAATGGCGCTAGGAATTTGGATGCAATGCAGGGGTGACTTGTTTAGTTGTCTCTCCAGCCGAGCGTGATCGTGGTGGCTCATCTAAAGTAGCTGAAGCTGTGTAAGTCTTAAATTATTTAGTGGCATACTTGTACATATTACGTAGTATTGAACAGACTACCTTAAATTATGAGTGCAATAAATAATTGGGTTTGATATTTAGTTCCGATAGCATATTAGCTCCACTTTTAAAGAATTAAAATATTTAAAAGAATCACATTTTAACATCACGGGATAAATACTTTTAACATCTTTGAAGAATGTTTGTGATGAACATACTATATTCCACCCAACCCCCAAAGGGTAGCTGTGTATCAATATTTTGTACTACTCAAAAGTCAAATCAGACATATTATTCAATACTTTTTAACTAATTTTATCATTGCACATTTACTTTGTCACTATCTTTTGTATATTTCTTGGAAGTTGTTCAAAAAGTGGAAAAAACATAAAAATAAATAAAAATTATTATGAAACCAACACCATAGCTTTTAGGAGAACATGGCCTCATTCTTTCCATTGATTTGAGTGTTATTAGGGAAAGGGGAATACCTGTGGTAAGGGAAGCATGGTTGCAAGACAGCATAGAGAAAAGGGAAGCGCAGCCACTAGATGCTTACGATGTTATGAGTGACATTGCCGTAGATGGTAGAGGCATTCCCTTAGACAAGCAGGACGAGGGTGCTGAGGCACTAGAAACCATCGCGGCAGAGGTAACTATTTTTTTTTGTCTATAAAAACCATCACCTATTTCAAGATGCTGTATTTCCTTTTTATTCATGATAGTTGATTTACTCCAATGGGTAATCGCAGCTGAAGGTGTATGGGAAGAGAGGTGTGCACAAGGATAGCAAGTTGCACGATGAAGGTGGAAAGATACTTGAAAAGGATGGACTGTTGTACAATTGTGCCCTTGCCCTTTGTGATCAAGGAAGAGGAGTCAACGAGTAATATATAAAACCTATAAGCCATTGTTTTCTTATTTTTCTTTCTTAAGGATCTATTTGGTACTCAGAAATTTCCAAGGCCAGAAAATTTTAAGGATGAAAATATAGGGAATATTTCGAAGGAACATAAAACATTAGCTCAACCTCAATATACTCTTTTTTTCTTTTATGTAAATACGAAAAAACTATACATATTTCATAAGATTAGAAGAATAATCAAATTTCATTTTCATGTGTTTTATGATATGTCAACATACCCGAAGTACTAAAAATGAATGATGACGCTTTTGGTTTGTTCAGGTTCTGCATTATGCAGCTCATTGCAGGGCCTGAGAAGCGTTTGCACATGTACTATAGAAGGGGCAGAGTTGGTGATGTTGCCCGGATAGATGCCAAGCTTGAGGAGAGGGAAAATGAGGATGACACAATCAAAGAGTTTGCTAAGATCTTCAAAGAGCTGACTGGAAATGAGTTTGAGTCATGGGAGAGGGGAAAGAAAATCCAGAAGAAACCGCACAAGTTTTTTCCTCTTGATCTGGTACTTTCATCATTTAAAGGATTGCAGAACTAATGCACAAGGAAGCAAGGAGAGGCCATATCATAATTATAAAAACTAGCCCTTGTAATTGGAACTATGCATAATTTTAATCTAGATGTGACAAATATTACCATATGAAGTAAAATACAAGAATGCACTTTAAAATATTAAAAATACCAAAGTAGACTTCAGAATTTTGTGCATACACACATAAATATATACACATACACAGACGGTTTTCAAACTTTAAGACATTTTTAAATCATGAAGCTCAGTGTTGTAGCACCCCTCCCGCTTGCACGTTCAAAAGGCCATATTATTAGACACATCCAAGCTGTTTTATGCTCAGGGTGTTGTTTATTTTGCTCTCCAGGCTGATGGAATAGAAGTTAGACATGGAGGGCTTGCCCTTAGGCAACTTGGAGTTGCAGCCATACACAGCAAGCTTGATCCTATGGTAGCAAATCTTATGAAAGTTCTTTGCAGCCAAGAAATCTATAGGTATAGATATATATCTTCAAATACAAATATGAAGTCCATAATTTTCTAATCTGGCTGATAAATAGAGATAAATTTGGTAAAACAAAAATCTGTACTCCCTACCTAATCTCACAACCGAACAAGCCCTTAGTGATGCTGCTCACAGTAAATTATTCATTGCGTGAAGGTATGCATTAATGGAGATTGGGCATGACTACCCAGAGATTCCAATAGGGATGCTTTCAGACATGCATCTGAAAACATGTATAGACTTTTTTTCATGTATCATTGATCCAAACTGATCCTATGAAAGCATAGTAAGATGCTAAATATGTTTGTGATCTCCGTGAACTTGGTAGGTGAGGACGCTCTACTGCACTACGCGGAAAGGTTAAACACAATGAAGGAAACAGGACAGGAAGCAGAAGCAGTGTGGGCAGAGTTCAGCAACAAGTGGTTCACTCTTATGCCATCCACAAGGCCATTCCGTCTAAGGGATATTGACGACATCGCGGATCATGTTAGTCAGTGGAATACTTATAGTCTCTAATATGTAGATGTTCTTTGTTTCCTAAATGTTCATTAATGAATTATAGGTTGCTTCTACATTCGAGACTATAAGAGATATCAATGTCGCATCACGCCTTATAGAGGATATGTCTGGTTCAACAATAGACGACCCTCTGTCTGATCGATACATGAAGTTGGGGTGCTCCATTTCTCCTTTGGAGAAAAATTCAGAAGACTACAAAATGATAGTTAAATACTTGGAGAAAACTTACGATCCAGTCGGTGTTGGAGATATAGTAAGTCTATCGTCTTTATATCTTTGCTGATCATAAAATAATAACTTCAGGTTCTAACATATGTTAATTCTTACATTGCTGTTTTGGTAGAGTTACGGAGTGACAGTGGAGAACATATTTGTTCTTGAACCAAAAGCTTGCCCCTCACTCAATGACATCAAGAAATTACCCAACAAACTCTTGCTCTGGTGTGGTAAGACCCTAAGATAGGGATTAATGGAGAGTTGGACACCAGAAGGGGGGATTTTTGTACAATAATTTCTTGATCAGAGATGAGGTATTCAAAGCTCAACAGTTCAACACTTCCTCTCTTTTTTCAGGAACTAGAAGCTCAAATCTTTTGAGGCATTTGCACAAAGGGTTTATGCCATCTGTTTGTTCACTTCCTGTTCCAGGCTACATGGTAGTAACTACTTATTGAGTATTACAGAGTATATATTAACATGCATTGTGATATAATATAAAGAAGTACTCCCTCCGTCCCCCTAAGTTTGGGACGGAGGGGTGTGGTGTGGTTTTTAAGAAAAAGTGGAATTGTGTGGTTGGTATTGAATTGATAAAGTGTAAATAAAGTAAGAATGAATTCTAACCACTCAAATGTTACCAAATATGGTATGGGACAAACTTAGTGGGACGGACGAAAAAGGTAAAACGGGACAAACTTAAGGGGACGGAGGGAGTAATTCTAAACAAGAGCAACATCCATAAATAGGAGTGTACATCTTTTAAGTTGAAAATATAACTCATTTATATGTGATTAAGTGTGGAAATTGTCCTTCACTTAATCACATATAATGCAGATTGTAGTTTTTACAGTTTCAATTATCTTAACAGTTCGGAAAAGCAATTGTGTGCTCAGATGCAGCAGCAGAAGCTGCGAAGTATGGTTTCACTGCGGTTGACAGGCCAGAAGGATTCTTGGTATTAGCTGTGGCTTCTATGGGTGAAGAAATCCAGGAGTTCTGCAGTCCACCAAAGGTAGTAAGATGTTTATGGAAACTAAACTATACTTGAGGTATTCAAATTTCAAACAATCTTCGTCAATGTTGTATTGCGCATTGAACATTGCAGGATACTAAATCCTTGGTGGAAAAGAAACTTGGGGTAAAATGCCACGGGAGGATGAAGACTGATGAGTCCGAGCATTTTGTTTGGAAGGATGATATCAAAGTGCCTTGTGGGCGGCTGATTGAATCAGATGAACACAAGGATAGTCCACTGACCTTTAACGAGTATGCTGTCTTTGATCCACAGCAGGTATGAAAAATCTGAGTGGTTAGATCAATCTAAACCTTCAGGATGTGTTTGGTCCGGGAAATTGCATAAAAGAATGATAGCACTACTGTTATTTAGAGAAAAAACAGATACATGTCCATTTCTTTTTTCCAAGTTCTTTCCATCCCACGTTGATTCATGTTAGTCCCTTACTCTCTTGAAAATAAGGCTCGAATGTTGTTGTTTACTTCCCATTTTCCTCACTGTTTTCTACATTCAACACATATATTGTTTTCAGGTGAGCATTAGGTTCTTGGTGGCTGTCAAGTACGAGGAGCGAGGCGTGGAATATGATGCCGCTGACCCTGAAGTCTAGGCTGCTATAAACTGGCCGAGAAAAAAGGACCAAAAAACTCTGAGGGGTGAAAAGGGTGGTTCTACCGTGTATGTATAAACATATTTTGATGCCTAATGTGGGAAGTATATGTTTTGGGTATAATATGGTTTTAGCGGGAAGTATATGTTTTGGGTATGATATGGTTTAGCCTACAAAAGCTCGAATGAGTATTCAAGGATAGAGGATGTGCTTCCTCTTCTTACCAGAGGATTCTATGGTCGCATCTTTATTTTGCAGCTTCCTCTTAATAATGAATTATGATCAATAGTGCCAGTAAGCGTACCTTGTTTTACACCTTGCTCTTAATGGTAAACTACAAGCATAAACTGATTACCTTTTCAACTTTTGAAATATATAACATGTCTATTCTACCATATATGGTTCATACTATATTTACGACACATGGTTATGATTTTTTTAGTTTGTGAACAGTTTTCATAAGTCAAAAAGCAAGGCAAGTAAGTTATGAAGTGCATAACACTCAGAACCAAACTGAGATGACAAAAATTGAAAGAGGTCATTAATTGGAGCGCAAATCATCTTATGTGGCTTAAATCACTTGATTCTTCAGAAAAATAAGAAAAGGTTGAAGACACCAACCTTAAGTGTAAGCTTTAGTTCATAAGATTAAATTTTATTAACGAGTTGATGCAACAGCTACGATGTATGCATTCCATGAATCCTGCTGTTGAAAGCTTGTGACCTCCTCGTATTTTATGTCTTGACCTGCAGAAAATCCATACGTGCTTTTGATCTCTTCACTATTTGGCATCTGTCGCATCCAAAAGTGAATAGCACCAAACCCAGCCTCTTCCAAACAATCTCTTACTTCAGGCAGTGACCATCTACATATTTGGATAGGGAATCAAAACCAAAGTGGTAAAATTCACGTTTGACCCCAAAAATATACACCCCCAACCTTAAAGAAAATCCCACTTCTAAATAGAGATATTTCCCCTTGTCCCAAAAAAAGATCCTATTTTGAAAGCTTGTTATTGTTCCAAAACAAGAAAGGCTCCAGAATCAACAAAACAAACAATTTTTCATCAAATCTAATGTGGTAAGCTTTATGAAAGGACTATTACAAACAAACGGAACGAGTTAAAGAAACAAATTTAGTTAAATTAAAAATGTTTAAAAATCACTAAGATTGATGATATCAAAGAGAGTTCTATTTACTTTACACAAATTGAAATGTTGCGCCTTTATAAAGCAAAACTCTTCTTTAGTTCTGAGGTAGTGCTTTTTTGTCCTAGGAAAGAAACCCATTTGAACAAAAGCAAGTAACTCTCAAATTAATAGATAACGTGAAATTTCCTTAACAGGACTGATGCCATGTGAAATCAAAACTTAAAAAGTCATTATGGGGCGGGGGTAAAAACTGTGAAAGAAACAGTTTAACAGATTAAAGATTGAATGGGAAAAAAAAAGTAAGTCCATAAACAATTGAACTTTGGGGCTCACTGTGAGCCTAGACAATGTGATACACCAAAACTTACAGTCTCCAGCTGTAGGAAAAGGCATGACGTAGTTTCCTTTGTGGCTTTTGCAGATTGAAATGAAGGCTGATTCTTGTTTTCCTCTTTATGATGTCAAATTCGGTTTGCTCCCAAACATACTGGGGAAGAAGTGAAAAAGAACCGAAAAAGTGGTAGCAATTAAAGAGTAGGAAAAAAATCTACGGAAATGAAAACAACATCCAGCTTAGAATCTTCACCGTTCTAAGATCATTAATGTAATAAGTAATAACTCATTTATGTAACAAAGTGACGACAACTAAATTAACAAAGATTTATATCATCATCCAATATAGCGAGAAATAAACTTAGTTTTGGCTCTTGATATAGTAGGTGCTATTTCTCATATGCTGTAGGATTAAATATTTGGACCCATAGTCAAACAAAAAATATACCGTGAATTGGGGAAATTTCCTCTGCATACGCAGTTCACACTCTGATGATGTTCCTCCATAAAGATCCATCACAAAAATCCCGCCTTTCTTACTCAACACAGTGAACACGTGCCTGAAATACTTGATCAATTCTTGGCGGGTATGAAGACAGCAACAGCTATAGTTAAATGCACACACTATATCTCTGTCGGGCAACTGAGAATCTGTTAGTTTAAGTTCAAGAAAACCATGTGCTCCATCCTGAGTGCTGACCATAATCCGTTTGGCGTCAAGGGGTCTCAAGACATTGCCGTGAAAAAGAAATGCTCTGGATGAGACATCAGTTCCAGTTTTGTTTAAGTTGTTTTCTATGCACCAATCAAGTGCCTCTATGTCCATATCTAATCCAACGGCTGTTCTTCTTGCATCGCTGCGAAGCCACTCCGCACTGCAAAATGTCATTCACCAGAAACCAATCAAGTCTGTCATAGTTAATGACGGTTCACAATGACAACCCAACTAATACTTTCATATATAGTCACCTTGATGGATATGAATAGCTCATTTGGTTACACGCCAAGATTTTAATGTTGCCAACATGTAGAATTGTTTGAATAAGCATAACAGTATTATCATCATGTACGGAGTTTTTCAATAAGAACCTGCTTGACAAGTACCAATGTACCTGAAGCCTGCTTGGTTGGAGGACTTGGAGGGTTATAAAGGAAAGGGGGAGAAAGTAGATGAGCTATCCTCCAAACTCCTCATATCTCACTCCCCCCAATATGAGGTACTTCAGAGGTCCATATTTTTCAAGATTTCTCTTTTTACCTTTTATTTAATCTAAATATTATTGTTATACATAAAGGTACGGTTAATTGCTGCAAAAAGTTATACCAAATATAATGTTTGTAATAGTAGTATTCTCCTAGTAAAATCATTGATCTCATCTTCTCGGTTGAACAGAAGAAAACTTCTTTTGAACTCTTTGATTTCCGCTCCTGCCTAACTGCCTTCTCCCCATTTCTCTTCCCCACTTTGAACCAAATAAAAGCCAAGGGGACAAAGGATACATAATTATCCACATGTGTGATAGAAGTTTTGTGTTCATTTTGTTACACGCCAAGACTTTATATATTAGCATTTGGTAAGTTCAATTGTTCAAATAAGTATAAGAGTATCTTCAGTGAACATGGACTTTATTCAAGAGTAGCATGTCCTATATATCTACCACCAATTGGTGAATGTATACCTCAAAAGAGCAGTACCGCAGAAATCTTCCTGTAGATGGAGAGGGACCCTTCCTCCTACGTACATCAAAAAGAATTTCTGCAGATAGCTTATGTCCCCTTTAGGAGACTGTACAGTATTTTAGCATGTCTATCTAGAAGAGGATGGTATATATGCAGGTAATTACAGGGTTCCCTTGCCTGAACAGATTGCTGATAAAGCATGAATTTTGAAGGTATATCGTTGGTTGATGCTGATGAATCGCCATCAATCTCATTGTCGTCGTCGTCTTCTTCTTCTTCTTGGAGCTCGCGGCGTTCTTGAGCGGGTGGGTATTGCTCACCTGCTTCTCCGTCTTCTCCGAGATAGGGAGTGTTCCTTGCTCCTCTACGATGGTTGTTTTGCTTCTTCCCGTGCTTACCCATCGAAACTCGCAGACTTCGCGCTCTGCAGGTGTGCTAAGACAGGGTTTAAGCTTGAGGATTGTGATGACTAGCTACCACAAATCCACAATCACACTGGACCAGGGTTTATGTGATGAAGAGGTGAAATATGCTTGGTTAAACTTGGTTTTTCTATATTAATTGAGTACAAATTTAACTCTTCCGTTAAAAAGGTGAAATGGCAAAGATCAACCGTTTATTTTTTACCTTTATTTTCCCAGTCCGCATCTATTCACTTCTATTAACCCTAATTACCTTAGGACTTCACTGCATCTCCTCTTCTTTCTTCCGTTAGCCTTTTGTCTTCTCCTACTTTGCTTTCTTTTTCTCTTCTATCTTGTTCTTCTTTTTATCTTTTTCTTATTCCTGCTACATAATTCCTTGAAATTTGAAGGGATTTCCGTTTCATGTAAATCCAAAGTTGCGATAAGTATAATCGACGCAGGGGTTGTTTGTGGGGTTGCTGAATAACAAAGAGCGGGAAGCCTAACAATCAACGACGGTGAAAAACTAATTAAGGGAAACAACGTTCGGTGGAAGAGGACACACTTGAGATGGCCGGAAGAGATAAAGTCAAAGGGCATTACGGCCATAACTTATCTGTTTGCCTCTGTTATGACCAAATCCATTTTCCATTAATTGGGGATTGCTTGATGAATCGGAACATATGGGGTGGACTTTTTTAACTAGATCAGCAATAGGTTCCTATTAACCAAGTTATCATTTTTAACGGCGTTATAACAGACGTACTAAATTGACACTAAAAATCAAATTAATGTACTTTGAGGTATCTGACACAAAATTATGTACTCTTTATTATGCTATGGGTTACAAGTTAAGGTACCATATTGACACTTTTCTCTTTTTTAAATGCAACATTGGACTATTTTCACTATTCACATGTTCTACTTTGATTCTATTTAATTTATTAATGTATCATATATTAAATTTTAAAAATATTGTTAAATTCCTCTTATTTTGGAGTTTCAAAATCTATTTTTTTTAATTTTTTTTACTAATAAGGTATGAAATATATTAATGGTCAAACTTGTGCGTTAGCAAACGTGAAAAGTGGACCGTTGCATTTAAAAAAGAACGGATGAAGTATATAAAATCTGTAATAAATTGGCATTTGAGTAACACATATTACATGGGCGGAACTAGGAGTACGCCATCCTAGGCCACATGGCCCACCCCAAATTTTAAAAATAGCTTAATTTTTAAGGTAAAAAATTTCGTGTAAAATATTTTCTAGAAATATTCTTTGTACCGGCCCAGTCCGGCCCAGTGCCCTGGCTCCGCCCTGACATATTAAATGGAGCACATTAAATAACTTTTTTGTATTAAAATATTACAAGTATTACTTTTGATTAATAAACGGTTAAAGTTTAACAAGTTTGACTCAAAAAGTCTAAATGTGACTTTAATTGTGAGATGAAGAGAGTATTTGTTTTCCACCTATTTAAAATTTAAATGTTTTGGGAGTTAGACTTTTACATTATGTTGAGTATAATAGTATTTTTTAAGGAAACTTGCTTATATTAAAAAAACTGCAACGAAAAGAGTAAATCAGACTCAAATTGAAAAATCAAACTCTCACTCAACTCAAAATCTAATTATCTTCTCGCTCTATAATCAAACATATATTAGTCACTCTCAGGTGAGGATATCAAATCGCAGATCATGTGAACGTTTGAAAGACATGTACGGTTTTCAGAGTCACAAAGTTTCTGACCAGAGTGATAGACATCCTAACAAGATAACTAACTACCCTCCAACCCAAAACATTATTAAAAGTAGCATTGTAAAGCAGAACAAGTACTTATGTGGAGGATTCTTCCACCTTCTTTCTTGGAAGTTGCCAAGAGACATCTATCACCTTCTTGGAAGGAGGTCTCCAACATATGAGAATGGGAGAAGATATGAAGATAACCATGGAAGCTTGGATGCAACTTCCTCTTGTCTTTAAATAGCCCTATAAATAGAGTGTTCTATTGTTGTTCATAGTATCAGTTTAGAAAGTGAGAAAAGTGTGTGAAGAGTGAAAATACACTTAGAGTAGAAGTGTATTGGTGAGGATTGGTTTTTTGTAATAGTTGAGTGTGAGAGTTTGCTCCTCCTATTGTAATTCTGTTCTTGATATTGAATAGAAGAATTTTCCAATCCCAACAAGTGGTATCAGAGCGAGGTTGAGTTTTCATACACTGTTTTCTCATTTTCAGATAAATTTCTACAGGTTAGAAAATCGTGATTTTTCAAGTTGCTCGGAATCACGATCTGATCATACCGTTAGATTCGTCTTGTCGAGACGAGAAATCCGGTATTTTTGGGGAATTTTTTGGCCACCGGAAGAGGCCGTACGCGCCGCCCAAACGCCGCCTGAAAACTGCCTGCGTCATCAGGCTGTCCAGAGGAAGAAGACGACCAGTCAGCGCCACGTCACCCTACCAGGCCGCCGATCCGTGCCACGTCATCGGCCACGTCGTCGCCACGTCAGCGACACGTGGCGCCACGTCAGCGCCAGCGCAGAGCCAGCTGTTGCCACGTCATCCGCCTGCTGGTCTGCTCACTGGGCTGCTGCCTGAACCGGACCGAACCGGTTCGTACTTGTGGAGGCCGGTTCACCCATTTTCAGACCGGTTTTGGACAAGGTCAGACCGGTTCCTACCATTTTCGGCCATTCCGGATCCAACGGTGAGCTCCGTTTGTCCAAATTCGGCTCCGAAAATAAGGTACGAGATATTTTGAGCGTATTATTATGGATAAATCATCATCGGACACCATGATTGCGCTCACTTCCACAAATTACAATATGTGGAAGCCTCGGATGGAGGATTTGCTAAATTTGAGGGATTTAGCCGATCCTCTTGATAATAATGGCGTGAAACCGGATAAAAAGACGGATGAAGAATGGACAAAAATGAATAGAAAAACTGTCGCACAAATTCGACAGTGGATAGATCATAGTGTGTTCCACCATGTTGCGCAAGAACAAAGTGCTTACACACTATGGGAGAAGCTTGGTAGCATGTATCAAGCAAAAACCGCCTGAAATAAGACATTACTAATGAGGAGATTAGTAAACCACAAGTTACGAGGAGGTATTTCGGTGTCAGAACACACCAGTCAATTCCAGGATCTTGTGAATCAGTTGAGCACCACAGGATGGGTTCTCAAAGATGAAGAGCAGGCGATACTACTCTTGAGCTCTCTACCTGACAGCTGGGAAACTCTTGTTGTCACTCTCAGCAATTCTGTTCCCAATGGCAAAGTGACTATGCAGATGGTCACAGATGCCCTTATGAACGAAGAAGCCCGAAGAAAAGAAGCCGGGACTGAACAATCATATGCCTTCGTGTCAGAAACCAGCAGACGAGGGGGAGGCAGAAATGGAGGAAGAAGTAGAGGTCGAGGTAGAGGCCAAGGTCAAAACAGAGGAAATTCTCAAGTTCGCGGCCGATCACAAGAACGAGGTATGTCCTGTGAAAACAATACTTGGTTTGAAGGATATTGCAACTATTGTGGTAACTATGGGCATAGAAAAAGAGATTGTAGAAAGTTTCTACGAGAGCAGCCACAGACGAGTCAAAATACTAGCCAAGAAGACGGCGAGACCATGGTTAGTTTGTCATCAGACGTGTGTCTTGTTACACATGGTGAACAAGAATGTTTACACGTAGGTACTCATGATGTTGAGTGGGTGATTGATACAGCCGCATCATTTCACGCCACTCCACACCAGAATTTATTCACATCTTATAAGTCCGGGGACTTTGGAGCTGTGAAGATGGGAAACACCAGTTTCTCGAAGATTGTTGGCATTAGTGATGTGCACATAACAACCAATGTCGGATTCGCACTTGTGTTGAAAGATGTTCGACATGTTCCGGATCTTAGATTGAATCTTATCTCCGGTACAACTCTGGATCAGCAAGGATATCTTAACCGATTCAAAGAAGGTACATGGAAGTGATCAAAAGGTTCCTTGGTTGTTGCAAGAGCCCATATTTGTGGTACTCTTTATAAAACTCATACAAAGTTGTGTCATCCAAGTCTTAATGCTGTTGAAGAAGAGATATCACCAAACTTGTGGCACCGGAGGCTAGGCCACTTGAGCGTGAAGGGATTGACAACTCTTGTAAAGAAGGAAGTCATTTCCATGGGCAAAGGTGTTGCCTTAGATCCATGCGAACACTGTCTATTCGGGAAACAACACAGGGTTTCCTTCAATTCTACCAGGAAGAACCATTCAGAGTTACTCAGTCTTGTACACTCTGATGTATGCGGACCCATTGAAAAGGAGTCACTTGGAGGAAGCAGATATTTCGTGACATTCATTGATGATGCATCACGAAAGGTATGGGCTTATTGTTTGAAGAGTAAGGATCAAGTGTTTGATCGCTTCAAATTATTTCATGCCATGGTAGAAAGAGAAACAGGGAAGAAGCTGAAGTGTCTACGTTCAGACAATGGAGGAGAGTACACTTCCCGAGAGTTCTCAGCATATTGCGCTGCATACGGAATCAGACATGAGAAGACGGTTCCACGAACTCCACAACACAATGGTGTAGCTGAAAGAATGAATCGGACCATTATGGAGAAAGTTCGTTGCATGCTGAGTATGGCTAAACTACCTAAGCCATTCTGGGGTGAAGCTGTGCTGACAGCTTGTTATCTTATAAACAGGTCACCTTCTGTTCCTTTAAACTTTGAAGTGCCAGAGAAGAAATGGTCAAGAAGAGATGTTTCTTACTCTCACTTGAAAGTGTTCGGGTGCAAGGCATTTGCACATGTGTCCAAGGAGTTGAGACAGAAGCTTGATCTCAAGTCAAACCCATGTATCTTCATCGGCTATGGTGATGAAGAATTTGGATACCGGTTGTGGGATCCCGAAGTAAAGAAAGTTGTACGAAGCAGAGATGTTGTATTTCATGAAAACGAGTTTCATGGGTGTGTTCCAATAATCCGCCAACAACGTACTCTAGAAGACGAAGTGCCTGTATCATTAAACATTCCTCTCAGCGACGAGGAGATGCATGATACTACTGAACAAGAGAGTGATGGTTCAGTAGGTGATGATGATACTCACGATGATGATATTCCTCAGCAGGGGGAGCCTTCATCTGAAGATGAAGCTGAAGGTACTCATGTTCGACGTTCTATGCGAGGCATAGTTCCACAGAGAAAGTATTCCACATCCGAATGGATACTTGTTGCCAGCGAGGGGGAGCCAACGAGCATCGCAGGAACGAGAGAAATAAAGAAAAAGGTGGAGGGGGAGATTTGTAGGATTCTTCCACCTTCTTTCTTGGAAGTTGCCAAGAGACATCTATCACCTTCTTGGAAGGAGGTCTCCAACATATGAGAATGGGAGAAGATATGAAGATAACCATGGAAGCTTGGATGCAACTTCCTCTTGTCTTTAAATAGCCCTATAAATAGAGTGTTCTATTGTTGTTCATAGTATCAGTTTAGAAAGTGAGAAAAGTGTGTGAAGAGTGAAAATACACTTAGAGTAGAAGTGTATTGGTGAGGATTGGTTTTTTGTAATAGTTGAGTGTGAGAGTTTGCTCCTCCTATTGTAATTCTGTTCTTGATATTGAATAGAAGAATTTTCCAATCCCAACATTATGTAAGTTA